GATTTAGGATTATCGGCATAAGGGGATCCAATGGTCTGCACAGACTGCTTAGCATACAAAAACTAAGTCATACCAGTGGCTAAACTCCATCCTGGGATGGAGAGATTCCTTCCAACCAGATCAGTCTTTTCTTAGGCCCTGCTGAAAGTAGCAGCAGAGGTTGATGAGCTCACTTGGGTGTTTAGGCTGCTTCACATTTCCCCTTTTTGCTTCAACTACAACTACTACAGGTATCAACGCTCACCAAGACATTATTGATAAGAGAGTTGCTGTATCTGACATTTCTAGATTTATGGTTGACTGCCCTACGCTGTGGGCCATTTGTTGATTGCCTGGATAAGTGGGACTGAGTACTCTAGGGTGATTTTGAAGTAATGCAATTCCTGTGGGAGAAGAAAGTACTTCATAAGAAATACTTACCAGATATCACAGCATTTTTCTCTTTTTTGGGTATGGTGTCTATACATTTCTGGTGGATTGTTTCCCACTTCATGACCACTTTCATGGAATCTGCAGGCCAAAGTTTCCTAGGTCTGGTCCTCAGGAACTTCAGTACTAATGGTTTTCATTCAAGCTGTTTAATGAGGACTGAAGAGACAAGTGATATCGGGAGAATGCAATTGATAACCTTGTACAACAGAAAACAAATGGCACTGGTCCAAAGATATGCACGGGAAACAGTCACAGCCTGTTCTGCATAAAGATGATAAAATGAGTATAATGACAAAACCAAATAACAGCACACACACACACTGCACTCTGCCTGGCAACATTCCCACCACACATGCTGATCTTCCCTTGTCCCTCGGCGGTACCTGAGCACTCCACTAAAGCTGTCTGATTAAGGCACCAATAACCTTTACAGTCACATCAGTCACATTAAAATAAATATTGGAATCAGTCAGGAGGTTAAGGATCATTCATTCTCAAGCTCTCGATGCTGACATTTAAGGAATACTCCTACATTTCTGAGAAATGTGCTTGTTTGCCGTCGTACCTAGAGTTGGATGAAGGGGGTTTGTCGGAGGTATCATCTGTTAAAGGGAGTTTTTTCCTCCCCATTGTTGCCAAGGGGGATTTGTTGGGTTTTCCCTTTAATGCTCTAAGGTCCAGACCTTAGGTGCCCTCAGATGATTGTTGCTGTGAATTGGTGCTAAACAATGAAACTGAATAGAATTGAGCTGAATGTTAGTATTACAAACACAGTGGCTTCTGTCAAGAGAAAAATGATGAGCAACAGCAACTGCAGAAGTAGCCCCAGTTTGTGCCTTTCATGTAATAGAGTACCATTACTTTTGAATCACAGAGCGAAGCATACGTTTTCTCAAAAATAAATAAATGTCCAGTGATAACCAAATTAACATAACCCTCAAAGACTTGTTTAACCATCTGGATTTAAAATCATTTGCACAATAATGAACATGTTTGACCCATTTCCCATGTAACTGCACTGTTTCCTAAACCAAACAAAGATGGAAATGACATAGGTCTGTGTTCAGTTTGTTTAATGTGAAACTAAATAAGAAGTTGCCTACATTGCATTATTTTAATATAAAAAAACATGTTGGTATTTTTACACTATACAAAAGAAGAAAGGAGATATGTCATTTTTAGCTTCCCAGACAGGAAATTCAATGAGAACTTGAAATGGGTATATTTTTTAATCCTGTAGTGGATGGATTCTTTTTTTCTTTTATCCATATGAGTAGTAGAGTCTTTGAGAATTCTATTAATACCTTCAGAATGATGGTATGTGTTATTTAACAACCTTCTGGCTTTTCAAGTTTTTTTGTGTGTATAAAAAGGATGCTTAGCTCTGTGAATGGGAAGGCAGTACACACACACACACACACACACACACACACACGACACAAAAATGAGGCTACTCTAAAACGATCTTACGTCCATCTTGTATCCTCTGGTGCTCCAGGTTTATTGGTTGTAATGTACTGTAGGTTCATGTATTGACAGAGCTTTTGCAGCCCATACCTGTTAATCTTTTATTAAGTATTTTTGTTACCCCTTTGCAAGTTCCTAACATGACACTAAAATTCTGAAAGCTGTAGTTATGGAAGACAGTGTCTCACCATCCTTGAAAAACACAGCTAAATCGTCTAAGACCAGGGTCCATGCTGTGCCCCAAACCACAGGCTTTCTCTCTTCAAAAACGATAATGAAGATTGCAGTACATGTTCTTCTCCTGACACCATGTATTCAGAAAAGAACAAACAGTTCTTACGCCGTAAGCCAAACTTTACTATTCAGCATGTAAATGTACAAAAAATTTGTAATGAGAAAAGGAAAACTACCTCTCAAATAATTATTGGTACAAACGGTGCATTGCAGCCATGTAAACGCAGGAAATTAAAGAAACTTTAACTCATTTATGCTCGTGTTGAATAAAACCTGATGAACAGAGGTTTGATAGAATTATTAAAATTCTCTCAAGGATGTTGTTTAAGCAAGGTTTTTGGGTACCGGTTTGCACTGGGTTTCCCTGCAGTTTGAACTCTCTAATATGATGCAAATAAAGGGAAAACATCAGATGCATTACTCAGTTTCTCAGTTTAAAACCCCTGACATCATGGTATTCAATTACATACATCATTCAAATTATACAAGACTTTGAATGACAGCACTAAAGAGCCCCAAAATGATTCATTAAGTTGTTTTCCTACTGTGCCACAAGATCAAATGACATACGCCCTAACAAACACCTCACTAATTAATGTAAATAGCTTTACATGACTAATTTCTAAGGTGCTTATCTTGGTCTAAATAAGTATTTTTCAGGAAAGCTCAAATAACAGAATAGAAAATTATCGCAGGCATTCAACTGTGCTGTAGCAGTGTGCACGGTGAAATCCCTTCTCGACTTGTAGAGTCTCATACTGTATGTTAGATTGAAAACATCCTCTTCTTCAGGCTCTCCTCTCTAGGCCTTTACTGTAGTGTATAACCTTGTTAACTCACACAGAAATATAAAAGACAAACTGCTACAACACAGAATACACTCGGGGTTACTTATGAAATCCCCCAATGTGTGGTGCAGCATATACATATGTCCTGCATATTTCATGGTAGTCATGTCGACAGGGGTTGCACTCGCCGACATGAACTCCTACTCAGACATCTAACACTAAAGCTTTCTGTGACTGTTTCAGACAGGTGTTGATCTAACTCAGGTAATTTCTTAGGCCATTGTTTGTGCACTGTGTGAACAAATCTGCATGGTAATTGGCTTGGACTGTATTCTATTGTACAAGTCATCCCCCGTGGCATCACATGACTTACTCATACAATAACTGAGAGCCATTTGTGGGAAAGGCCAGACGGTTTTTGGGGGTTTGGGGAATTATTTATTTTGGGCTTTTTCCTTTATTAGATACCCAACAGTGAAGAGACTGAAATTGTGCATGAGACATATCATGCACTTTCAAAGCTTCAAACCAACTGCGCTGCCCAGACAACCAGGAGCTAGGTGTGTACATTACATGTGTAGGGTGGGAACCACTTCTGAACACCCTGCCATGTAGTCTCAAAGTGAACCACATGACTGAATCAGCACCTCTGTAAAACTGCCTGGACATAAGCGACACTGTTACTCTCCCAAACTGTTTTTTATAGTGCAGCTGCTATTAAGAAGCTGCTTGTGTCCTGGGCTTTAGCTCAGTGGGTTAAGACAATGCCTATAAGAGGGTGCCTGTTTCAGTGCCAGTGCACAAAGACACATAATCTGGTATAAGTAGCACAAAGCATGGATGCCTAGGAAATGGAAAGTTAAGTATTATGGTCTCACGAGGCGTCTTTCATCCTCCTTACATCATGTTATGGGAATCACTCAGGCAATCGCTCTGTATAGTCCTGTAAAAACATTTCACAGCTCCCCTGGTCACCATATGGTAACTGAAGTGTTCTGGCGTGTAGAGCAAAGTAGATAAGTTCCTTTGTCATCCCAAAGATTTGGTGGCTTTCCTTATGAAGTCTAGCTCAGAATCATACGGTACTACACAGAGATTATAGGATTCTTAAACAACAGCATTTCAGGGTTTAAAACTGGCCTAAAGCCAAAAGTGAAGTTCATTTGATACGTTGTGTTATGTTATTCAGTATGTTTCTTACTAATAACTAGTGAAGTATCAATACTTAAAATGTGTACACTAAAGTCAAAATTAAACAGTAATGCTGTTTTATACATGGCTGACCATTTTTTCTACACTTAGCTATGAGAAACTTTTGTTTAATAAGAATAAACCTTAATAAAACAGTCATCAAAAATGTTTTCTAGACTTAGAAACATTAACAAAACATATGAATACAGTTTTATTCAATAACTAGTTTTGGACATTATTCTAATTATTAAGAATTAAGATAATTAACGCCCCTTATGGGTTCAATTGCTATTTGTGCACCATTTCTTGTAAAACGCATTGAACATTTGGTCAAATGGCATCTCTCATAACAGTTACTTAGAAAACAGATGCATGTGAGGCTACAATGAAAACTGAAAATGATCGTACTCTGAGAAATCTGTTCTTATTGGCTGCAAGCAGCCTACTACATCGGGTTGGACTCTGGTGAATGAAACTGACAGGCACCAAGTGATACAGTAAATATACAGTAAAGACCAAAAAAAAAGAAGAGTTTCTGTACCAAGTACTTGTTGAGAACATACCCTCCTAATAAACTCTGCTTGCTGCTGAAGCCACTACATACTGACATACAGTAATTAGTAGTCAGGCTGCATATTCAGTTCACCCACGTTTTCCTTGTGGCTTGACAGACACTGATTTATTATCATTAGTGATAATGAAAGAAATATGCTGCAAAAGTTACTGCGTATCAGACATCAATTTTACTTTTGAGAACAAATGCAGACAATTCATTTCGGCGGTGGTAAAACGACAATGACACTGGGTCGGACGAGGGATGATTAAACACTCCGCTTCTTTCTCACAACCTTGTTGCTTGAAATTTATGCAAAGTGATCCTCTCTGTGCTTTTTGAGAGGTGGAGAAAGTCATTTTTGAATGCTTTGGTGTTGCACAAAAAGAAATGACACGTTCACGCTACTTTTGGCTAAATGCAGAAGGATGGTCCTGAATATGAATGTGTTTACTTCAGCTGCAGGGGAGGCACATCAAAACCTGCCATATGCTACAATACACGGCTTAAATGACGGAGAATCTGAACTAATGCAGTAGGTGTGGATCACAGAATAACAGCATCCATGGCAGTACATCAAGGCATTAGCTTTTATCAGGGATGTCCAAAATCGGCTCTTGTTTTACTTAACACAATATTGCTTTGATAAAACGTGTGGTGAACACTGAAAACTGTCCAACAGACATCCATTCATATGGCAACAAGAGACTTTTAGAAGAAAGGAGGAAACCAAGAGAACATAAAGGCTGGAAACAGATAAATCATCACAGTCATTTCGAAAACATAACCTCAAAAGATGAAACCTGTCATATAAAAGACCATTATTCTGAAAAACCGTCACCTACCGCCAGTGATGTTCCTTGGTATGTACATATTTTGGTCAGTCACTAAACCTTCTCACGTAACAGCTATGGGAGCACAGGGTGAGCAGCTGCTCTTTGAGATGTTCAGACATCGAGTGTGTTGCGACACAAAAGTCACAGAGCCAATTTGAAAATGCACATGACATTTTGTGTGTGAATTTGGGCTGTTTGTGTTTTTCTGGAATATCCCCAGGAGAACGTGTATCTAACCAACATGGCGCACACATTGTAAATCACAGTGTCTTATAGTCAGATGTAAGCCACATCTGTAAAATGTCTTTTCCCACATAAAACAATGTGCTGATTATCACTGTCAATTTAATTTAGTAGAACAGTTTTAGCAGTTTGAAAACTTTAGTGAAATTCATGACAAAAATGTAATAAACTACAGGAGACACCTACGCAATAAAAAAGTGGACAAACTGTTATTCAGATAAAATGTTACTTGTGTATTATGCAACACACTGAACAATCCAAATTAGGTGATTTTATCACTTTGCCTTAGCTGCAAATTACTGGCTTAATAACTGGGCCATAAATAACCATGTAAATGCTCCCGGCAGCTGCATAAATTCAAACATTACAACACAACTTAGATAGCCATTAAAAGTATAATAACTCACAGCAGCTTATTACTTTGTGCAAATTACAATATTTTTATATGTAAATTTTCCCACAGTGCAAATTAACAAAGATGGATTATCAGTGATTAAATACCTGGCCGTTCTGATCTTCAAGTACTGCTAATTCTGTCTCTGTGCCTATGACACTATTATATTATTTGTATTGAAATGCAAAATCATTAAACAACCACTATCAACAAACACAATCTAAATAAAATATTCTTATTTCTCTGATCTATTGAGTTTGAGTAAATGAATGCTTGCTGAATTGCGTCCCTCTGCCACAGTCGTGCGTTTCAAATGACATGCCAGATTCAACAGAGCCTATAAATGGCTGCTGGCTAGCGGTCTATGGACTCGGCAGGGTTTTGAGTTTTAGCATCTAGCTGCTGGTTATGTTGGACGCTTCCCAAATGGACCAATCTCTAGTAAATGGGGTTGCACAGCATCTAAGGCTGCAGATGGTGTTTGAAAGCACAGAAGCTCACAATGCTTTTTTTTTCTATTTAGACAAAGACAAACACAAAAAGTGGGTTCGGATGGTGTGCAAGGTTGCCACTTTAAGATGAAGGTGATTGTTAACACTCAGTTTGAGGTTGGAATCCATTTTCGATCCTGGTCTCGGTGGAGACAATCATCCTCTAATAACAGTAATCTATCTCCTCGTTGGCCAGGACAATAGCTGTTCTGCAGGGGATGTAGACCTGAGATAGAGAAAGAAAAGAGAGACAGAGGGAGGAAAGAAAGCAAGGAGAAAAGTGAGATGACAATTGAAGATTAATGATGTTAACGAGATAACCGATTTTGGAGATTACTGAATCTTCAGTTTTATTCTTTTGAGAAACCGAGGCACTTGCTGCCTTGATAATCAGGCGTGATTGCTCCTCACAATCAAGGTCGACATGGCGACTAAACAAGGAGTAGAAGGAGCAAAAAGACGGCGAAGAAGAGGATGGGAGGTGTATTTAGCAGGATATTCAGATATGAGCTGAAAAATTAAGTCATCAGACGAGACAGTGCACAAACACCACAGCCTTTGATCAAAGAGGACTGTCAAGGTTAGAAAGGTACTGTGCACATAATCAAAGCATGACAGAACTGCAGCTACAGTATGGCCTCTGGGTGGCACTGGAGTCAACAGATCTACTGTGCTGAGAGGAGCCATAGCTTCTTCAACCTGTGCCTGTGAACCAGTTCATTTTAAGCTTTGAGCTGTGGAGAATACGTAATCCTGGTATCGTCGGTGCTGCAAATTTCTGGCCTATAACATTACATTTAAAGTTTGTGCACACAATTGACCAATCCCCAAATGAGCAATCCTGCCTTAAGCAGAAAAGAAAAAAAAAATCCCAATTTTCAATTCTAAACTCTCTGTTCAATGCGATAACTGTGCATTTCATCATCTCTCAATATTGGCTGTGCACCAACAGTAAATTTGGGATTCTGTGAAGATGCAATCTGCCAGTGGGCAAAGACTCGAGCTAAAAGAATCCCCAGAGTTTCACTGGACTGAAGAAAAAAACATGTCAGCAAAAAAATAAGCACACCACATGAAGGAACATAGTCTGGAAATGTCAGATTCCTTATATACACTCTATAAAGTACAGTACAAAGAAGTCTCAGTGAGGGCTTTAGTTTGGAGCGGTGTAGCTAATAAAGTCTTTGATCAATCCTTTTGATATTCACAGTGTCGTTTGGAGGCAAAGAGCCACCGTGTAGCATTAGTCATCTCAGATTTATGCCAAAGGAAAAGCCAAGCAGACATAAATGATGCTATATTTCCCAACAGAAAACGGAAAAAGAGAGCAGAGCTGTAAACAATTCAATCACCCCCCTGAACTCTTCAAGCCGCCCCTCAGCATCAGTGGATCTGAGCTCGGTGTGGATGTTTCTTTGGCAACAGTTCGTCACAGAGGGAGTCAAGCAGCCTGGTGCTGAAACACTACACAGACATTGGTGACTAATTAAACAGTCACAGTGGGAGAGTCTCCATGCAGAAGCACTGCCGAGAGAAGGAAAGGCAGAATGAATCGGTGCACCTGCTTAGATAAAAGCTACCACTGCGCCTAACCTGGGATATGTCAACAGTTGTTATTTCTACCAGACAGATAGCAATAGTGACAAATTCTAAATCAATCTGTGAACAAAGAGCAGCAGATAGTCCCGAGTGCTGGCACAGCAATTACTGGAAGACATTCCAATTAACATACCGTATTACTCCTCAGGTGTCATAAATTTGTTATAGTACATAGGCTACATACAAAAAGTGACCTATCACCCACAGACTAGACACAGTAATTAGGAATAAAACACTTCTTATGTTATATTGTCAGCAAACACAGGGGTCATCTTCACAAAACAACGCACAAGAACACACCAGTGCCGAGGTGTAAGACTATTGTTTACAGTTCATCTGATCACGCAACAAAACATACAATAAATGTAGGTACACAAGCCTGGCGCATCATCGGTGTAAGGGTTAAAGGGCTACCAGCAGAAAATAATCCAAGGAGAACATTTGCTCTGCTTTTTAACACAATTTAAGAAGTAGAAAGTGTTACATCGTTAAAAAAATGACGTGATATAACCTATGTTATGATCTAATTTAGCTCACAAACCCAATCACACAATATTAATGTGCATTTCTCGGCCATAATATCAGACATACTTCTCACGGGTGTAGCACAAGTTCTACTGCCATGTTTTCTGAAGCAACCCTGGTCCTCAGCATCTGACTGGATTTGTCTGAATGTTTCCACAAAGCCTCTGCTGCTTTCTGATGAGTCATTTGCTGTAGGTGTTTACCACTTCACTGGCAGACATTCATAAGCCACATTTCACATTTAAGGAACAGTATTTACTACCGGCAGTCAGATCCAAAAGCAGTTACAGTACAACAGAGCCTTTGCAAATCTGACAATTTGTTTAAAATAGTAGAGCTGCAAAACAAAATGAGATGAGGAGAAAGCAAAGCAGTTCGTTTGTGAAATGCATGTGCTGTATTAATGGAAAGTTAGCCAGGGGTGTTTGTCCTCTTTTTGACTTCTTTTGTTTCATGAGTGTTCCTTGTATCGCCTCGTTACGTACTCAGATGTGAGAATTCGGATTTTCTACTCCCTTCAAAAGTAGAGTCCAGCCTTCGGGCTAATACTCAATCTGATCAATGTTCAAACACACTGATAAAGGATTCATGAGGTGCTCCACAGGAATATATATCCACTAAGTTTCTGTCTCCTGACCCCAGCTACCGGCAAGAACACTGCCTGTCTGTCTGTCTGTGCACTTCTGCTCTCCAGACAGGTTTCTGTTTGTCTCAAGGATCAACTCTCTGTACATGCATGTTGTACTTTAGGCAAAGAGCATAAATCTGAATGGTTAACACAGATTAGCACTTGATTGATTTAGTTATGATCAGCTTCATCACAGAGCTTACCTGACTAATAATAATAAAAACCTCTCATAGAAAAGCAAAAACCTACAGTAAAATAAGACCACAATGCAACAGTGTTTCAGTCTTCAAAATTATATTATGAATAATTAAAAAAAACAACTTTTAAATGTGGTTTATATTGTGTATAAATAAATTACAAAAAGATCTGAAGCTGATGTGATCTGTCACACAGACAGTGAAGATACATATGAACTCATACTCACAATTACAAATTAATTAAAGCTCTAACCTGTTTACAGCACATAGGTTTCATACTGTATACACAGCATTTAGTAATACTGTATATTGGTATATGTTTGCAAAGTGTGAAGCAGGGCTTTTTTTGTGCCGTCACAGTTTCATTCTGCTCACACTTCAACATCAGACCTTAGATCACTCTGATGGAAATGTACAGCTTTTGATCATTTGCCACCAGGCTGCTATGTTTCCCTCACTTTCTTTTTCTTCCTCACTTCAGCATAATTTCTTTTTTGAAACTGTCACAGGAGAGCACCTCATGCAATGTTTACCAAAAGGTTTTCAAGCAGCGTTACTTAGCATTATGCCTTTGACATTATTACACTTCAACAAAACTGTAAATGTGACAAATACCAGAAGAGGTTAAGCTAAAATACAGTTTCTCGCTTGGGGAATTTTAGTCCTCAGCTATTTTAGTTTTTGTCTCACTAAATGAATACATTTTTATCATTCAATAGCAGCAGTCCTGGTTCTTGATGTGCGAGACTCTCATCAAAAGCCTGCTGAGTATATCAAGCTATCAGTTCACTCAGATGAAGGCTTAGCTCCAACGTTTTTTATTTGCATAAAGAGAGTGCTTTTTCAAAAAAGAAACTTTTCATCTTTGTTCAGCTTCATGGCAAACTGTTCAACCGTTCAATCTATTCATATTGAAAATGAAAAGAGTCAGTGCTCATTCTTTATTACCAAGAAACCCCACATTTTTAGACAATACTGTTACCATTATAAACATGTTACATCGAACACCTAAAGCACTTTAAAAAGCCGGACGTTGTTGCTTTTTTAAAAACAGTAATAATTATGTGGCTTCAAATCAAACTTATTTTATATAAGAGCATTATATTAGGTAATTGTGCTTGGGATACTGTATTATTTATTAGGGACTAGAGCCAGTTTTGTACTTGCTGTTAGAATATTAACTGTCCTTTCCCACTCTGCTTAGTCCCAGCTGATATTAGATCAATTAAAACTAATCATTCACATGCATCTTATCAATTAGTAAGAAAGAATAAATCCAGATGTTTTATTTTAGGCATAGATGGTACTTAAAACATAGCAGCCATAAAGGATTTACAACTGGCAGCTATTAATAAATGATTTACTCTTTTACACACCAGTTACCGTATAATCAGTGAATAAGAACATCTTCTGATTGCTAGGTTGTTGCTGGTGTTTGTGCCACTCCAGCCCGTCACATGGCGTGTTTAGCTCTTTGATTCATCGGGAAGATGAACATCTGACCTTTTGAAAAAGAGCTGCAAAGCGAGTAGATGAAAATAAATTTAACAACTGATTAACATTTACACCTACAGACTCGCTGGCTTATTAGGAAGTTGGTCCCATTAACCTTTATTAATGAAGAGAACTGAAAACAACATCAAAAGAAACTTTTTTCACAACCTGTGTCTGTTTTGGTTTTATTTTATTTTTGTGGGAGCATTTTTGTTTTTATTGATTTTTTTTTTTTTAATAATGGAGAAAAAGGTGCGACTGAATGAGCTACAGAGAGGTTTGTAAACAGTGCGTTGCAGTCACACAGTGCTCACCACAGTCTACTGAGTCACCGGGACGCTCTCGACTCTGCTGGCTTCGTCCAATTATGTGCATTCTCAACCTGAGGAGCGATGCATTCTTGGAGGATATGAAGGTTTATTATCGCTCAATAACGAGGAAGCTGGAGAAATGACGGACACATTAAAAAGACAAGGGAGAAAAAGTCTGCACCAACTTGGAAAGCAACAGTTGTTAAATAAAACACAGATGGTGTGGGCACCTTTCACAGCCCCCGCAGAGGCTCTCGTATGATTATTCTTGTCAGAACCAGGTAGGAGTGAAGAGGAGGAAAGGCAGCATGTTTATGCAAGACTACAGTCTGACTGTGCAATCTCTATGAGGAAGGCTGTGAAGGAGATACAGTAAGTGAAGATGAGTGAGTGCCCACTCTGCCTCCTCCCTCCCTCCCCGTCGGCTCCATTCCTCCTACTTCCGTTCATTCGCCATTAATCTATGATGGTGCCAACATTAGCAGATGACTTGTTAACTAAACTTCACATTTTGGCCAAGAGGGACGTGAGTGAAGCAGAGGTGTTTGAATTAATAAGAGCTGAAAAAAAAAAAGATTTGAGAGAATGTAGAATTTGAGTCCTTAACTGATGAAACCTATGCTAATATGAAGGAGCATCAGTGTCTGCATGAAAGAGGAAGAGGCTTTTTAACCTGGAATGACAGAATCTTCAATAATGCTGAACTGATGCCCATAATACAGTAGCAGTGTGAGTTACACCAAACACATTTTTGATGCATTCAAGTGCTCTGTACAACTCTTAATATAAAGTAATATCATCTCTCTACAACTACAACACTTTCAGTACTGATCTGAGGAGGGTCACATTGAGTTCAGATAAACAAACACCTCATCGGGTGCTCTCTCAACTCTGGTCCCAACAGCTTAAGAATACTGCCTCCAGACATTTATTATTTTACTAAACAAACCGAAAAACCACAGGAGAAGATGACTGTGCGGACCACTTCACAGACATCGCTGTCCTCACACATTAATTTGATTCATTAACATAAGATCTAACATGCAATCAGCCGAGTTACGGTTGGAGCGTTTGGGTATCTGATCCCAACTAATTCTTCCCTGACCTTATTCGTAAAGATCTTACTGCCTTTCAGCATTTTAATCAAGCAAAAAAATTACATCAGCAAGAAAAAAAAAAAAAAAAAAAACATGTGGCAAACATGTGGAAGGTCCTCAAGCACTGTGCTGAAAATGCACAGTAGTGTTTCGTACTGTATTTCAAGGATCGACCTATTTCAAGTTATTAGCCTTAAGCGGTCTCCATGATGGAAGCCCAGTAGCTCGTCCTCACAGATATTTTTCTCTCCTTTTGACGATGTGTAAGCTTAAGAGCCTTGCACATAGAAAAGTAAATTCTAAAACCATGAATAATGCACATCATTGCCAGAAAATCTGAAAGACTTGTAGATATCAGACTCATGATGCTCAGTGACTCCAGGATAACTGCCAACATGAGCAGAGTAAAATGCATAAATGACAAATGAGATAGATATACACAAAGTCTAATGTTGTTGAGAAGCTGAAAACAATGGATACCATCCCTAGGCCTTTTTATAAAGCAACCGTATTTCATCATTTTCTGGATTCTGCATGAAAAGCTAATCATATTAATGAAGAGGATACTAAATAATAGAGCAGCAGTCAAGCGGAGAGGCCCAGACCAGAGCGAAGGTGGCTTCTGGCCAGAACAGGGAGCCCTCCTTCGTGACAACATGCTTAAACCTCATTAGTATGGCTTTATAAGATTCTCTCACTACAAACTCCAGTTCAAGCTAATTAAGCGGACTTGTGAAATCAAACAGGACAGATCATTAATATGCTGACAGCTATTTCATCACAATTTGTAATAAGTCAATTTGAAAACAACAAAGAGAAATAAAAAATGTTTGTCCAAAGTTTTAATCTTTCATGTCATTAATTATTTTTTATTTTCTGAGATGTTTCTGGACCCGTCTCATCACCACACACACACACACACACACACACAACTCCTTTGGGTGAGGAGCTCTTCCGTTACATGCACTGCATTGTGGGACAACAGTCCATCAACAGTGCTCTCAAAAATACATACTGGCATTTTTTGAGTGCACTTAATTTTGCCACTTTTTTCAAGTGTGAATGTACACCACCCACTAAACCGTGTTAGAATTAGTGTGCTAAGTGGCAACCAGTGCTAACTGGTTTAGTGACTAGACTCACCTACAGCAGCCCTGAACTTATAATTGGAGCATACTCATTCAATAATAGATGAGCTCTGATGAGTCAAAAAGTGTGATGGTGAAAATATTTACCTGCATGGAGTTGGAGCGACCCTGGAAGGGCTGGGGCTCAGTGAAGAACTCTGTGTTGTGGTCCAGCCGTCCATGACCTCCATACTGAACCATATCTGAATCCAGCTTGATTTTGTGTCTGACAGAAATAGAGGTTAAGGCACAATAGCAGTGGGAAACTAAAAGATCTAAGCACAAGAGTGTTTTATCACCAGTGCTTCTGGTGTGCAGACTTGATTCAGCAGTACTCAGCTGGTTTATACTCACTGAAACCCTCACATTCATCAACATTCATCTCCTCTTTGCAGCACCGTGAAGCAGCAGCACAGAGCTCTAAACAGACAAAGCGAAGGCTGCCTGAAATTAATATAAACACAAAAGTGATTCAGCCGTGGCACAATCATGCAGTCTGTCTACTTTATCTAATTCCCTGCATAAATAATGAATTTGATCAAAAAAAGTAAACCAAATGAGTGACAACAGACATACATAAATAGTATCTATAAATATATCCACTCCTCCTCTAGGACTCACGTTTTATTGTTTTACATCTTTGAATCAGACAAAGATCAAGAGAAGAGACTCTTATGTCAGTGTCAGTGAGAGCAAAACAGTACAAATTAAGCACAAGATAACACATCAAGGGATTCATCCCTGAAACCTGCGAGCATGTACTGGTACTGGATTAATAAAAACTATATCATCTTCCACGTATGGACACTGAAATCTGTCCTATTTTCCTATGTTTTACAATGTAATGTGCTGTATATTGTTAATGCAAATGCTTCATTTTTACTGTGGCATTTAAGAGTTTTTATCAGCTGTCAAAACATCTCGATGAATCCAAAGTAATTGTAAGTCAGTGTATGGTGGATGGCTGCACTGAGAAAGTCCAGAAAACATGTTACTGCCTTTGATCATGTACAGAAAAGATGTGTGTACTATACTGTGTGCTTCTGTACAAGGATGCTCAGACACTGAATAGATGAGTGATGTGTGTTCCCAAGGAGGAACTCAGATGGAAAGATATTGCATGGAATATAATATGCAAATCATTTCATATGCAACAACGAGAGCATATGTTCACCTTTTCTTGAATGCCAAGTGTAGGATCAAATCGATAACACGATGAATTATGCCTGTCGAATGTGATATCTAAATTATTAGGAAAGAGCACCCAAAGCTGATGAGAAACAATTTTCTGGAGAGACTTTTAGAAAATTCCTCCTTCCTTTCTTAAACTACTTCACATTAGTACAGTTCCCACTTTATTGCTTCACAAAACACAAAAAGGATGGGTGTTGCAATCAGTTAACAAGGCCATTACTAATGTCAGAGGAAATATTCAAGACATTATGAAAGCTGGATTTAAAATCCAAGACAGTGCACTTTGACGAGTATTGTGTGTACATAAATGTCTGAAAACTCATCATCGATCAAAGTTGAGCCTTGCACATGCCAATCAGAAATGCTTAATAGCTGACATGTGTACCCTGGCATCCATGTACCCAAAAACATCTGTGCGGTGCATTATTTACTCCTGTCTCTCAGGGACAGGAGCAGTTGGGAGTAGTACTGTAACAAACACCTGGCGAGTGGAGCAGACATGCAAACAACCCTCTAATTGGCTGGCTGAATAATCACCTTCTCTCCCCATAGGTGATGCTCTGCAGTGTGATCCTCAAACACTGCCTCATTCTGCCCCAGAGCCGGGGAAATCCAGCTTTTGCTGCCTGTTTGTCTGCTTTGATAGTGATGATTAAAAAGAAGCACCACTCTGTGCATTGTTTCTGCTGAGGAGGAAGATCCCCTGCCTCACACCTCCTCTGTTCTACAACCACTATGGTGGTTTATTGACAGAACAAGCTCATTTTTCTTTGAAGGCTTTTCAATAACTATCAGAAGTATATTGAAATATTCTCTCAAGGCTTACAATGCTTCTGGGGAAATTAGGATATATGAGATTTTAGAAGCTAATCTACCTAATACAAACAAAAACCTTTACATTAGACACACGGTCATTTTCCAACAGTACTGATAACATGTTTCAGACCTAATTTAGAGTGTTAGTAACACTACAAGGTTCCTTCATACTGCTTGTTGTGTATTTGCAGTCTTATGGATTGCATGTGTATTGTACAAAATGTGTGCATGTGTGTGGCACAAAGCGTGCAGGAGGAGGCTGAGTTACAGCAATTCAGTGTTCCCTGGCAAAAATCTCTGCTAGGATACAAGAACTTACACAAATTGGTAGTTGGAAGCTTTGAGCGATTAAGTCTTTGTTAGCGGTTACAGACTGCAACAACAGCTTGCAGTTCAGCTGCAAAATACTGTAATCAATACAGCCTGTGTGGATAAAATGGAAGATTTAAGAACACAATCAATTTTGCCCAATGGGCAGAAAGAAAGGAAGGCAGTGCAAAGCATGATGATATGAGCCATTGATGACCTGAAAACATCCATCCATCCATTATTTATATCGCTTATCCTGAATAGGGTCACAGGGGGCTGGAGCCGATCCCAGGTGACATTGGGCGAGAGGCCGGGTCCACCCTGGACAGGTCACCAGTCTATCACAGGGCTGACAGAGACAAACAACCACACACACTCTCAGTCCTATGGACAATTTAGTCGCCAATCAACCTAAGCTGCCTGTCTTTGGACTGTGGGAGGAAGCCAGAGTACCCAGAGAGAACCCATACAGGCACAGGGAGAACATGCAAACAAGGCACCGGGTTGGCTGAGCCTTGAATCCGGAGCCTTCTTGCTGTGTGGCGACAGAATGTCACCATGCTGCCTGACCTGAAAACAATCTGGCCATAACCTTGAATACAGACCAAAGGCACTACTTACTGTAGTTTCTCCATCAGCTTGCCATTTTTTCTGGACTTATGAAAGTAACAGTACCCTGGTGTGAATGAACAAAAGCTGAGTGAGATGTGCATGCACATCTGAAGAATGTGGCATGGCCTTGTAAGCACTCTAAATACAATATCTTGCCTTTTCAGAATCTACTTTTTCCTGCTTTCTGCTCAGCTGGTGCGAATTACATCAGAGTGGAAGAAACAGTAGAAACACCATCTGTCACAGTGGAATAAGAGACGGTTCGGGCCAAACAGCAGCTGACACTCATCAACTGATGTGCTGAAAAGCGGGACCCTTAAAGAGCCCATAACATGCTTTTCCTTGTTTTCTGACTTAACTACGACGTTACAACAGTGAATTATCTCCTTAATTGTAACCTAAAGCCCAAAAAATGAGGTGTACGTATGCTCTAGTACTTCTATGCAGAAGCAGCTTGGTTTATACAAGTCTTGCAAACTCTCGCTCACGAGACCTTTTTTCTAATAAAATTAAGTATTACGTGATAGTTTAAAGATCTCCTTGAATGCTTATGATCTCCAGGCAGTTGCGCGTTGATGTGAGCTTGCTACCGGTGCTATTTTAAAAGCAGGATTTTTAAAGCACATGCAGTCTTGTGGATATATTTTACCTCCTTCTGCTGCACTGTGACCAGAGGATGTGGAGAAAAATACAGGGTCTGAGGTTACTGCATGTCCAGGAATGTTCTGGGTCTAACCTATGATCAGCTGTCCATTGAAGCACAGTACGTTTGTTTTGACTGCTTGAGGCCAGTGTGTCTGCTGCATGTGATGTGTTGCTGGTTAATGAGCGGATTAACGACCCATGATGTTGCTGTTGGAGCTATGCTGCCTGTTTAGTTTCACTACTTTGGGACTGTATGTGGTCCATGTAAGTTTTGGGAAGCACAATTTATTAATGAAATGTGGTGGTGCCAATGATTTTGGATGACGGATCTCTGGTGGACTCTATTGTGGCCTTGACTATCTAAACTGCTGTACCAAACTGTTATGAATGATGCGAGAATAATTTCAATGGCTGCAGTTTAGAAACTGAGCACAATTTGTTGTCTTAGTCCAAATGTATTGAGCTGCCTAAGAAGAGTCTTTGCTTTTTGGGCTTTTTGGATTATGTGGTTGCTGCTGATGTGACATCTGAGACACAAAAGGTTGGTGCCAGTAAATGTTGGATTGCTAACTTAACTGAAAACTACAGGGGGTTTGGGGTGTGGTGTATGCCCTAAAATCAATAATGACTTCATGAGTGCTGTGTGTGTTGAGCTGTAGATCACCATTTGTGCATCAAGTAGCTGCTCGATTTAGCTGTTCATGGCAGTGAGAGTTATTAGAGATAAGACCTAGAACCTGTCTGATCCTCTGACTGATTGCTCATGGTTTTTTGTTTGTTTGTTGCCTCATTAAACATTTTAATGTAATGTCAGTGTATTTAAGAACAATGTTGGAAGAACAATTGGAAAAATGACTGCCAAATTTACAAAAATAGGAACCAAAGTTTAACAAAATGGGCATTTCCTTTAATGCCTGAAAGCTCTTCTATTTGTCTGCACCTGAACATGACAAGATTTGGGATCACAGGTTAAGCCTCTGGATTGATGAGGATGTCTGTAGAGGATATCTGGTAGAGTTAGGACCTAATGGGATCCCACACAGAGAAACTAATGCAGCTTTCTTTATACAATCCATCTTGATGCATCTTATAGCTCTCTGTAGAGAGTTGTAAAAAAAATATATTCCTTTTTCAGAAACCTCATATGATTCATTCTTGATAACGTCAGAGTAAATCATTGTCACCTATGCACAGAACTGTATATTTTATTCTAAATTCTAGTTAGTTAGTGTCACTACACACCTGTAGCTGAATTATTCCAAATGGCATTCAAGGAAACGCTCTGACAGAAAAGGAGAATGATGACCTGGCACAGTCTCTACCGCCTATTGGCACAGTGTAAATCAAATACCAACCTGCCCTGACAGGTATACTGTAGATTCATGATGGGATCCAACTGGGATTTCAAATACCCTACCCCAGCCAGATAAAGCCGACCGCCAGAAAAATATGTCCACCATGAGTCGCAGAGAAAATAATAAAAAAAAAAACAAACACTTACAGGGTTTGAGTGCCTGTCGAAAAGCTGATGCTGACTGCATTTTGATCACCAGTGTTTTCAGTGAGGTATGCTGCTTCACGTTCTCTGCTCTTCCTCACGGAGAGAAACAGAAAATGACATTGAGAAGTAAAAGAAAAACTTGTGTAAAATATGAGGAGGCCAAACAGTCACTGAGGATCCCACTAAAGACTGGGACTGTGAGATGACGACTACACTACAGTTGAGATATTCATTTATCGTAAACTTATGACAGCAGGCTTTCACTTTCTTACCCCAGACAAAAACACCACAACTGTCATTTAGCTGTAACACAGCTGTACAGCATCAACTTTGGATTCCTAACTGTCATTTAGCTGTCACAAAGCTGTACAGCATCAACTTTGGATTCCTTTAAACAACTTTGTTTTTTAGTGTTGCTATGAAAAATTAAGGAAACTATTGAGGAGTAGTGCACAACTAGTGTTACATCGTCAAACTGTGCTTCCGCTGGTAAAAGTTCTGTTTATTTTTTAGTTCATCAATAAAAATATTATGAAAGAAGGGGAAACCACTATCTAGACCAACATGCAGCCATCCAGCATGTGAAAACAAAAGGCAAGGCAATAGTCATCTTTGCTGAAGAGGGATACCCTCTGATAAGATACACTACTTGCCATTTTGCCGAAGGACATGACATCCATATTGGATCCATTTCCAGTGGTACACAGCATTGTCAGCTGCAGCCGGCTACAGCAGAGGTGTGGGGCTCCACTGTGACATGCCTGACCCTCACACAGGTAGAAGAAAGTTTAAGTATATGACAGCAGAGTGTAATGAAAAAGCACTTTTGGACTCTTTGAGCTTGTCTTGTTTACCTCCTCTGCCTCAGAGTGGCACTTTCATCTGTCTTCTCCCCTAATTGGATCCTCTGCACACATTCCCATCGGAGGATCTGCATCCCCTCATACACACGGTGCATGTACCTTCCTCACACACACAGCACATTTGCCTTTATGTGTTTACCGCCTCTCTGTATAATGACAGTCAGAGCTTTGCCCTCACATTTATTTGCATTTCCTCTCAACTCACCCAGTGTCTGAGGCCTCTCCTTAAACATCAAAAGAAGCACCAGGAGGAAAAGATGTAGTTCTATCTAAATGAAAATAAACCCTTAAAACGGTGTAACAGACACTGTGGAGCTAGGCTATTAAAGCTGGGCCAAGGATTCGCCCCATCCAGGTAGAATTGAAAGCACAAGGCAGACTGCACATCAAACAAGCTTACAATTAACACATGATATTAAAAGATTGGGGGTTACTGCTTTTTAAAAATTAAAAACCAGATTTTCTTCTATCTCAGTGTTCATATTTTAAAAGATGTGGATTAACACTTGCAATAGAGATGAACAATGTTCATTTGGTATGCTTTTCTTAATCCACTGGAATACTCATGTCAGTGACAGTGACTACAGTATGTAACTATATATTATAATAACTGCCAGATAATGTAATACCAGGCAAATACAATGAACTGCCCCTTGAAATGGTATGAAATGTAAAAAAATCAAATTTCTTGTTAATATAAATACTGAATATCATCACGCTGGCATTGATATTTCATTACATTTTGATAGACCTTTATTATTTCATTTTAATTAGCAAGTACCATCAACTTATCCATCCAAATGAAACTAAAAATAATTCAGAAATCAAAGGAACAACTGCTGTTTAACAACCTCACCATCAGCCAGTCGAATCATCATAATTTGAAACCGAATTGCTGATGCACAGTGATTTGAACTGCTGGCGTCCAGAGAAAACTAACGAGCTCTGTCTGCATTTTGACTCGCCATCACATTATTTAAGTCATAGCTGAAAAAGCAACACAGCTTTGTATCCATCCGGGAAAGTATTGGCGTGAGCCACAAGGAGCCCCAGAAGAGAGTGATGTCCGTTATAATAAATACAAATCTGTCAGCTTTCTGTACCCCTTCACATCCCTGATCATTAAGCCTGCTATAATCACAACTGTGGGACTCATTAAATTCCTCTGCGCTTCTCACTGGGAAGACAGACAGCTAATGATGCTAAAGCGAGCGCTTTCTGAATCACTGGGCTCTGCTATTATTTCTTTCTAATAGCATAACAACGCCAATATCAACAATTGGCTCATACTACTCTCAACGGTGACAGCTAAAATTATTTCACTCAAGTATTAGCCTTGAAGAAAACATTAAAATTGCAGGTCTTTGCAAGTCACATTATTTTAAACAAGTCTGACACAACCCAGTATAAGGCATCTTCACAGAGTTGAGGTGGTTCACTGCAGCGCCCTGACCTGATAAGTTTATCAGTGGACTCATTTTGAACTGTCCTGCCTGCAGCCTCACATCAACAACGAAGTTGTTTGATAATGCCACCATGTGATTAATTAGGAAACTCACACAACTCTCTTGTTTTTAAAAGAACTGTCTTCAGTAGGAACAAATTTGTGGGTCCCCGGGCTCGGAACTATTGGTTGTTGGTTTTGATCTTTTCTTTGGAGCTGGATAATATTGCTGGCATCCTATAAAATTTATACAGCCACAGAAGCTGTCCCAAAATATTAGCGTTTTTAAGTACAGCTGATCTGACGTGGTCATTTGTTTTAGACCATTGTGTAATGAAGTGGTGGACAAATAGAAATTTGGACTTGCTAGTGGGGTGAGATGTAAAGTTAAAGCTTAACCAGAGATGATAAAATCTATCCAATAGGGATGCCTATGCCTGTACCAGCTTGTTGTTGACCTACTGTACAGTACACAATATCAGTCTGGCTACTGACACACGTACAGCAGATGCCTTTCCAAAAAGTTCATATAATTTAAACTTTTAAATGGATCATGCAGTTCCCATATTCCTATTTTTGTCTCCTTTCTGCCCTGCTGCTTACTGCTGTGGTTGAAAAATCAACAGCTAGTCATTTTGTCAAGCTCAAAGGATTAGTCATGTTATTGTATAAAAGAAGGAACAAACAAAGACATCATTATTCTGAGAGGCTCTGCGGTGCACACTGCGGCATGACAGAGGAAAGCCAATGTGTGGAGATTTAAAAGAAACAAGCAGTGACATGACAGATGAAAGTTAAAAGGATACTTTCCTGGAAGTTCTACAGCCACCCTATAGTCCTTGAAGCTCTTACTGTGGTGGAAGTTGAAGATAAAGAGCACATTTGCCCTGTCAAACACTATGACCTTGTCCTCTTCATGCCTCGTGCTGACAAAGGCCTGGAGGGGGAAATGGGAGGAAAAAGAAAAGCTAATGAAATATTTCTTCATGAATAGTCATTACCTTTCTCATCTTGGATTTAGAGAGTTATAATGTGGCACATTATATCAGTGGACAGCACATTTCCAAATAGGCAGAGTAACATGCCCGTATCAAATTTCAGGTGGCACTCATCAGTAGAAAGCCAGAGGCCGGGGTAGTGCGAGGAACCCACTGCTTTAGACAGCTGCACACGATAAAGCCGCCACATTCCTGTGGAGTGAGCTACTGTTAACGTGTCATTAGCAGAGATTATCAATGCCACCCAACCCCCTATTTTTAGTGACTTGTTCCCCAGGCCAGTTTCAGGGCCGCATATTCACGACTGAACGAGAAGATAAGCACCCATACAACTGGACAGGCAGAGAGGATGGAGGTTAAGGAAGGAGCTGGCTGTCTGTAGTATTACCAGGTCTATCACTGCATAAACATCTGAAAGTGTTGATGTTTTTTTATAGGCAGATTTAAAACCTACATTTCTGGAATTGCTTTTGATTAGAATAATTGACTACCATTATTTATTCTGGTTATGCATTTACATACACATCTCATCTTCTTTTTATTTTTTACATGCTTTAGTCTCTGCCAGTCATCGGTAAAGCACGTTGAAATGCATGAAAGATGCAACTGCAGCCGACTGGGGCCTTTCTGTGTGGAGTTTGCATGTTCTCTTGGTACATTTATGGGTTTTCTTCTGGTACTCCGGCTTCCTCCCACAGCCCAAAGACATGCAAGGACAGGCTAGGTTGATTAATGACACTAAATTGCCTGTAGGTGTGAATACGAGTGTGAGTCTCTATGTGTCAGCCCCGTGACAGACTGGCCACCTGTCTAGAGTGTACCCTGCCTCTTGCCCCCATGTCGGCGAGGTCTGGCTCCATCTGCCTAAAACCGTAATCGGCATCCATCAAGTTGCAATCCAATGATGCACACCAGTACTGTATATCAAATGTGCATTCTTACTCACAATTACATAAATGAAAATGTAAACAAGACTTTGTAGTAAGAGAAAGAATCTGATTATATTCAGAATGTGATGATATTGGTTCAAAAATCTAAATTACCTAAATAATCATTCTGAAGTGTGCCCTAATGAAAATATCTCCCTCTGATGCAAACATACAGTCCACTGATATGTGGATTTAAAATTAAGTTAAGAGTCTGTTAAGTTTCTGTTTTTGTTACAGCCTATAGCATCACACTGACCTGAAACAGTTTTGGGTGAAACTAGCCAGACAATGAGAGCAGGGTAAATCCCAGGAGTATCATCATTTGTGACCTCAGAACTCTTAATGAAAATGTTTTTTTGTGAAACCACTGCTGAAATCCAATAATTCCATAAACTGCGCCCTCTGCTCCTTTTCTTCAGTGGTGCTTACATTTTGTCATTTGCAGGTGCAGCCAGCGCAGTTTGTGGAAAAACTCGTTTTAAACATTGGTTCCTGAAATTATTTCTGCTTCCAGGGAGACATGAGACAACAAATATACATCTGAAGATGTAACCTGCTACTGGACAAAAGGTCAAAAATAATGTTTTGACCTTTCCTGAAGGGTTGCAAAACAATGAGTGACTGGATAATAGCCTAACATACAATGTGCTGAAGTTACAAAAGGTGCTGGGTAAATCTCAAGACCTCCAGTGATCTCAATATTCGAAAACATTCTAATGTGAACAGATAATCTTGATGTTAGAATTCACAGACAGTTACTAATACTATAAACAAACAGTTTACTATTACAAATAAAGATGGATTTAAGTTCTATTACCAGCAAAGTAACTTCTGGGTAATTGTACTGGTTGGCATCCCAGCAGAAACAGTAGTGTAAGTAGAACACAGACTCTTATGGATGCCATAATCTGCTTCCTAGTGTGTACTGATTTATTTAAATTGCATCACAGCGATGCTATCTCTGTCTCTGCACTAACAGAAGCTTCGGTTCATGTTCACAGTTTGGCCTTTTGAAGCTGCACATCTTCAAATAGACAGGCACAAATCACACTTTTATGTAATGCCCCTACATGTCTCCACTTCTGCTTTGTTCACTCAGACCTGGGACAACAGGGAGAACTGCTAACAGATCCTCTCCCACTTCTCATTTTAAAAATGCTCTTGGACCTTCCCTCAACAGTGAAATATTGAACCAAGCTTCAGAATATTCCCACCAAGCATGATTATCTCAGTGTTATTGAAGGTGCACTCATCTGGTTATTACAGATGCTGACATATTTTACTCTTAATGATTTTGGGGTACTATAAATGCTAATTTGCCTTGAATCAGATTTCACCCCAGTGAGATGTGGTCTTGACTAAAACAAAAACCTCTAGACTCTGTCCAATAACAGCAACTGTATGTCACCCAGTACCAGATGGGTCTGTACTGTAGGATAAAATGCAATCTGTGCTGAACTGCACAATATAAATTTTAAGGTCTGCCAGGTTGAGTGATGTATGCCCATCATAGCGCTACAATGTCAGAATAAAAAACATATACGAGCCGAGAAATGTCATCAACTCACATCATTTGTCTGTGCCAAAGACCATGCTTTCAGCACTGGCACTGATTTGTTAGGTTCATTAAAAAAGTGACACCCACTATAGTTGTATAATAATGTGTATGCAGAACTAATCTCGTGCCATATTCCAGCTGGGTGGTTTGTAGATTGCACAGTCACAGTGTGGTAGTGAACTGACCGTCTATTCAAAACTTTGTTTTAATGTGGTAAGAGTTATATTTTCATTTTGAGACACCTACCATGCTGTAAAACAAAAATGATTTCAGAATAACTTGGAAACGGTTTGTCTTATTATTCTGTCATTGTGACATAAATACATTTTTGATCTCTTGCCAACAATCTGCCAAAACCTTCAGATAATCACAGAGTAAGATTTCTGGCACCTTACATTTTTCTTATGTGTAAATAAAAAACTAAATGTTATTTCATGGTCATAAAAAAGGGAGGAAAAGGAAAAATAATTACATGCACATCCTCTCTGGCCTTGGATAAGATAACTGTTGCCCTAGTTTGGTGAACACTTCTGCAGGGTAAACTCATTATCAGATGTAGGGTTGCAAAATTCTGGGATGTTGGAAACTTTCCATGGGAATTAATAATTATAAACTGGAAATTTGCAACATTGCTGATAGCCCTATAACAGGGAACTTAAGAGTATCTTGCAGCATAGCATTAGTTAAAACAATCAGATTTAATGCAAATTCAGTTGAGTTTCTACCCTGTTTCTACCCTCCTGCTACTTACACATCCCAGCTTTCCAGAGCTTTAAGCACAATAGAGCTCAGCAGACTGCCGTTATATAATATTATTTACACATGATTTTAGGTTATAAATCAAAGACACAGCATAATTAGATGATGTCTTAAGTGTACATTGTACAGCTGTCATCTACTATATGGTTTCAGTTAAAAACAGTCCAGGAAAACAGCACCCAGCGTGTAGTAGATCAGCGCTGGTGCCAAATGTATGCATCTTCCCTGCCAGTAGCATCCTGTGGGATCAGCATTCCCGCCCAAAAGGAGCACAGAAATCAGCCAGGTTCTGCTTTTCCTTTGCCTTACCTCCAAAGCTCTGTTTTATCTGGTTGTAAAGGGTGTAAGAGGCTCCATTAAATCAGAATACATGTCTCACTGATGCAGAACCAGACATGTCTCTAATTATACTCTCGGTTACATTTCCTACTCTGCTGCATTTGTCTGTTAAGGAGAGCTGTGCAGGTCAGAGTGTAACACAGCAAGGTGCAGTAGAAGCTCTAATCTGAGGACTGATTCCCGGGGATATGAGGGAGGTATTTCTGAATCAATTACACAGACTCGCTTTTAATCTCTGCCAATTTAGCCACACTCTCCATTTGCATTATCCTATTACTCTGCTACCAGCCTCTCAAAGGAAAAACAGAATTTTTTTCTCCCATAGGCTTCCAATGCATGTAAAGAGAGGAGCGCTACTGTTCACTTTGACAGACATCAGAGAAACAAGCCATTTTCAAAATGAACTCTTTTGTGGTGCATTTATCTCACACTGCCTGAGTAATACCCAATTTTGGAAGGTGCATAAAGAGGGTATCTTGAAAATACATTTATGTTTAGAAAATAATATTATGGGAGCGAAATCACAAAGAATCGATCTGGGCACTAGAAGTGATTAAATATTCTGTATGTCAATACAGTACAACATTGTGCCGTGGCATGATTTTGTCACCGCTAAAATCTCAGTGTACAGTGATCGTGTGATGACCTTACAGGTGGGGCAGCCAGCCAGCCGTACTTGTCTTCGGTACGGTTCATGTCACGGTCAAAGGCATAGAGCTGACGGTAGCGAAGGTCATCCATATCCACTAGGTTAAACTGCCGCCGGGCATATCGGTAACTCTGATTGTTCCCCTGTCTGGGGAAATCCAGCCACTCAGGATGGCCAAACTCATTCCCTGCAACACAGAAAGTGTTATTAAAGAATGTACATAATGAAGAGAAAGGCACAGAGACTCTGTGAATTAGCATACTTTAATGTGTCATGCTATGTGAGGTTCTTTTCAGGTTTTGTGCAATTTTTAACAGGACAAAAGAAGACACAGATCAAAGAGACCAGAGTCAGCGACAGTTTGATACCTTTTTATAACCCCAACAGAACTTGATACTTCGCATATTAAGTTCTTGCCACATCTTCACCAACCACAATGTGCTGCAGAGAAACCTGCCCTTTCATTAATAGGCCTAAAAAGTCTTTCATTTGAGTCTCACATATTCAGTAAATATGCAACAATAATTTACCAGGAAATGAGGGAACACATGTTTTTTTGCCTAGAATGTCACACAGTTGATTAAAGCATCTTTAAATTTAAGAATTACTTGACCAATGCACCACAAAAACATCTACTGTAATTTTAATGCAACTACTCCAGAAGAGTGTTAGTTTTCCTTAACATCTGAAAGTCAAAATCAGCAAGGAGTAAAAACTTCGGAGTAGTATCACTGGTGGAGGAAGAGTCCAGATATAAAGCTGAATGCACAGTGCAGAAGTGTAGGAAATAACAGCCCTGTTGCTCCTATGCTGTCATGTCAGGAGATGAGACAATGAATCCGTCATCACATGTCAAGACAACATCATAAAACAACAGCCAGGATAATTGAATTCCCAGCAGAGCAAGAGATACACAGACAAGAGACAGAGGAAGATGCATGACAACAGAAAAGCCGCCCCCCCCCACCCCAAAAAAAAAAAAAAAGGGATAGGAGAAAGTGGAACAGACAGCAGATTCTGATGAAATATATTATGTAGGTGTTAAAGAACTACCAAACAATAAAGCACGGACTGCCAACAGAACAAGCCCAACATAGCACTAGCATGGGAATTAGGGTCGCAAAGACATGGGGGGAGAGAGAGAGAGAAGGAAAAAGGAATGAAAGAGAGAATGAAAAAAGAAAGGGACATCTGCGTGAATACCAAGCCTCCCACATGGCTGAACTTGAAATGTAAAGGAGAGGATTACACCTCAGACTTGCAACACTGACAGCTAAAGGCAGTCTTTCTTCCCTGCAGACCACCAAGAGGAATGTGTACACTAAAACAATGCCCATCAAAAATCCAGAATTTGTGAAAACCTCTGAATAAGAAGATTTGATTTGTTTCTGAGATACAGTATGCTGACCATAAGGAGTTTAGCATTATTTCGGCACTTAAGCGAAGGTCAAAGGACTGCCGACATTATTGCTTCCATCTCGTGGGAGTGTGAATCGACATTACATTTTACACCACTGTGGTGATTAATTTTCATAAATCAAACATGATTTGAAGCTATATGATAAATATAGTGTACTCTAAATACAATTTGCGTCAAAGACCATCAGAATAAGATTCACTGCTTTGGTCCTACTCACTTTTTCTGGAGGGCACCTCCAAGCCCGTTTTCATCAGTGTCTAATAAAATTAGACAATGATGTCTAATACAATTCTAAGACTGCATGAAGGCACCATGGCAGACGTCTCTTAAAGATTATTGCTCCCATCTTTGGTGTTGTTTTGTATCTATCTTAGCAGGGCAAATTCACAGTTTCACCATGGATGTTACAGCTGCTGTGGGCTGTGTCGAGGCCCACAGCTCATATTTCTGCTCTAAGCAAGCGCGAGCATCGAGAGGCGAGGAGTTTGCCTGGAGGAGCTATAACCAAGGATACATGAGTGCATCCTTTGCGGAAGTCTGTTACAGATTGACATGCCCCTTTATTGACAGTCAGTTGGCGACTGGACAATTCACATGAGGGATCAGAGGAATGGACGCTTCATGTCAGTTAAAACATGTTTCCTCACTCCTCTCTCCTTGCAGTTTGTCCTTGCATCTTCTTCTTGTGTCTTACATGGGAGAGACTAAGATGCAAGGAAAAGACAAGTGAAGAAAATGTCAATGCAATTAGTGGAATTGGGATCACTTAATCAAGTTTTTGCATGTGCTCTGCTGCCACTAGGGGCTGTCGAAAGTGTCAGTATTCCAAGATACAGAGGGTAAATCCCAATCCCCTTAATTGCTTTCGGATCTTCCATCTGAAGCAGCCAATCAACAACTGATTTCCAATAAAGGGGTGTGTCAGTCCATAGACAACTTTGCAAAGGATACTCTTGAGTATTCTTGCTTGGGGCTCTTCCAGGCAGTCTACTCACTCCTCAGAACAAGAATAAGAGCTTTGGAATGTCCGGACCTGAACAACTTCCAGGTCAACCAGAAATTGAGGAGAGAGGAACAACAAATTAAGGGAATTTGGATTTACCCATTGCCTTTAGAATCCCAAGAGGAAAACAGGCAATTTCAAGCACCTCCCTTGGCTCCTTCTCTGCTAATAATGCACACAGCTATACTTTAACATAATCTGAACAAAACACAAGGTGAATTTTTTGATTACTTATGTGTATTGAACTGAAAGTCATGTATTACATGATATAATGTGATTTTAGATCTTAGATAGACTGTAACAGCTCCTAATATGTCTTCTCCTGGAACAGAATGACTCACACTCCAACTGATGTTTTTGGCTCTTACATAGACAATGCTCCGTTTGGAAACACACTGAGGTACAGAATGTAGAAAAGACCCATGGGCAAACAGAGCTGAGGAGGACAACTCTAGGGACTTGCAGGCCATTGGTGCAACACAGCCTGAGCTTAGCACTGCACACAGGAGTCTGGAGACCTACTATGTGACAGTTTTAAAGTACTGACAGTCTGTAGGTGAAAAATGCCCCCTGACAGCTGAAATGCATGGCAAAGCACACAAAGTCTGACTTGAGGGCTCCACATGTAATCACAGAACTGGAGTCATAAAAGATAATGATATGCTGTCACTTGAAAAGGCATCTATGGAACAGAGGATTGTGCTGAATGAAAGATGTCAAGGACATGTTACAATTTGACAACCGTCCTTTTTAATTTTACAAAGGCAGTCACAGTAAGCATAACATTCTCTGGGTTTAAGTAGCCTTCGCATGATATCAAGACATGTCAAAAGAGAGAAACGACATAAAAGAATATCTCAAATGCTGTGATACAGGCTCCTCCGTAAGGAATAAGCCTCATGATTACTTCAGGGGACTCACAGAAAGAACAAAAAAAAAAAAAAAAATCCACAGACAGACACTCCTTCGCAACATGTGATGTTCAATACATAAACTATTATTTTGGTATATCCACCCTCTACTTGACTTATCATCTACAGTACCTTTTGAGTTCCTACATTTCCCAGAATTACTTTCTACACAGCCTAGAGAAATGGGCTCTCTGTGTTGCACTGTATTGCATACAGTAAGTGTAGGTTGTGGGAATGATTGTAACCACAGAAGCATTCCACACTTTTCTGCTAAGAAAAATGTGAGAAATGGAATGCAGCAGCATGTAATGGACAGTTCAGACTGTGAGAAAGCAAGCAAACAGGCTGTCATACTGACAACAGATCCATGAAGATGCAATCTTCAAATACATTACATGTATTCAACTATGTGTATGTATTAGGGCCGTGTCAACCAGTTGATATACCTTTTATAATAATCTGAAATGATGCGGGATGATAGAAATTACACATTTAGAAAATTGCTGCCAAATAAGCTTGAAAAAGAAGCAAACGGATTTTCCACATATTTAAATCTTACTTTCCTCCTATCCAGAATGTGTTTTTGCAGGAGTGAGTGGCTTACCATCTTTTGTGCTTTTTGCAAAAAAAAAGAAAGAAAAATTATAATAATAAATAATAATAATCATTGGAAATATTTAATACTGTCAGTGTGGCTATGCTACATACTCAGAACCTGCTTAGACATGGGACACAGCCGGATAGAATACCAACAAAAATATAGTTTACTGCACATATTTGTATATAGTGCAAATTACACACAGTTAGTATGCAACCTGGCTTTGAGACACAGCTTAGGTTATTTCATACAAAGAGGCAACAGGTGATCGATGCTCTCGTTGAACTCACCTGAAGCAGCTCGGTAGAACATACTGAGCCTTTAGAGCTCTCACACATGATACCTCTATAGGTAAGTGTGCAGATAGTGCTACTCGACTGCTACGACTTTTACAATACATTTCGCCAGATGTGATATTTTTTTTTTTTTAAGTTGTGTTCACATGTAACCTAATTCAGTCTTGTTCATTTGGGGGAAGTGTGGTCATTGCAATTTGAAACACAATATAACATGGACCAAAATATTATTCCACACACACACCTGAAAAGTTTCTGTTGGTCTACAATAGGTCTACAAGGAGCAGCCAGTGATCATGGATATGTGACAGTTTCATAAATTCAAAACAATTTTACATCATTCCTTTGCTGCTCCTGGCAACAATTTCCCCCAGTCACACCGTAGAACAAGATGGCTCATTGTAGTCTAGCCTTTTCTCACTATACATGACAAATAAAGTAATATTACAGTCGGCACCATTGCTCATGATTAAGTGATTTTCTGCGTTTTTTGTGAACACCGGGGAAAATAAGTAAAGACCTCAAGCGCCACTGAACAGTGACACTTGCTGTCAGCCGATGAAATAAATTTTGTTTAGATTTTTTCCGAGGGGCTCATGTAGCGCCGATGATGCAGAACAGGTCACAGAAACTGTCCAATGAATGAGTTACGTGCCAGCTGATGTGACTTTACAGTATGTTTACAAGTCTTTGTTTCTTCGTAATAAGTCAATGTGAATCCTACTAAGTGGACTAGAACAAAAATTGAAACAAGTGGTAATTTTTCCTGTGGCCTAAAGCGAAGGAACTGAGCTACAGGCATGAACCCAGTCATGGCAAAATAATGAGCATATAAAGAAACTGTTATTTCACATTGCACTCTAAATATTGCAATGTGATGTGAGTTCATCTGCAGCCTACAGCTGACCTGTACAAATAAGAACGCCACCACACAACAGTTGCTTTACAGTGTTAAAATG